ACATGTCCCCTTGAGGGAACCTTCCCTGCAGTCATTTTGTGGAGCAAGTGATCTTTCCTATTACTACAAGTCCAATGTAAAAGCAGATAAATAGTGATTATACAGCATACATGTTGAAAATTGATAGATTCTTCTGTATTTTCTAGAAATACATAATGTACCCAGGGACAGCAAAGTGAGAGCAACTCCTCACAATAAAATTTTATTGTGTGTCATTGAGCATACAGTGATTCAATCTCTAATGGTACAGTACATTTACTGTGAGTCAACTTAATTTTCGTGCCCACCAGCACTGAAGAGTACTTGACTCACTGTAACTCCACAATTCCACAACTGCGATAATAATAATAATAATAAACACTTGTTAATCGGTTTTACAGTAAATTAGTGAATTCTATGCCACAAGGTTACAAAATGTCTAAGGACAATCACCCATCAGAAAGGATCTTTAACTTAAAATGTAACAGAAAACAAGGCATCTCTGCGAACACAGAACAATTATTGACCAGTATAAACTGAGGAAGTGGTTTTTAAAGTAATTCAGCTAAATAAAAAAAGAAAAAAAAAAACCCCGAAAAAAAACAAGCAAACCTCAAAAAAAAATGCCGGCAACAAATAAAAAACCAAAAAACAAAATGACAAAGTCCCAAACCAAACCCCAAAACCCCAACCAACCGGGTTTGACAAAAGCACCACTGTTAACAAAAACAACACTTAATTTAGAGTTCGAACAGTGATTTTAGAACACTATTTAGAATGAGGTTCAAAAGTTCCCTTCTTTTTCATAAATATGAACACTTGATTATCGTATTCATGTCTACTGTTATCCATGATGACTGACAGCTTCTTTAACGTTATTAGACGGCGTGAACAGTTATTCAGACTTCACCATTGGATCCCACAGCAATAGTCTGTGCAAGGCTCAGACCCCTTTTCTTGATTTTTAAATCAAAGGTAAAAAGAAGAGTATTTGAACAGTATAATGAGAATAGAAAGTCACTATGCCTAAGAGTCATTAACTACAAGAATAACCTCTGATTCCGCTAACACAACATATGCTGGATAATGCATGACGACTGATGATCCACTGTGGTGGGTCGCGAGTGACTGCACTATCCACAGCAAGATCAGAAAGCAAGACAAGACCGAACAGGTATGCAAATTGACTTTGATGAAACCAAAATGTTTTCAGATGAATGAGAGAGCTGAACACTGATCTGAAAAGACCTTCATCCAGGAGAAGACTGAAAAGAGCTAATGAGGAAAATGAAGACCATAACAATATGCTTCAAGTGGCTTCCTGATCTCAGAACGTGAACAGTTAAAGTAACAGCACATTCCTGTCCAGTCTTTCACACAATATTTTTCCCATTAACATCATAGAACATGCTGCAGTCCATCCAGCAGAACCGGTGCTAGGAGTAGACTAATGCAGCATTTTAACTTCAACGAAATGCAATCTGCTCTTCAGACTTGAAAAATGGTATACACAGGGAGTAAATCAGCACTTCAGAAATGAATAAGCCTTTTCTTAAAAAGCAATCAATCACTTTCCAATCTAACAGAACAGTCACTGACCTGATAGATAATGTTGTGTTGGCTCTGAAGCAGCGCTGGATATTTCTGTAGTCACAGCAAACACAGAAAACAGCAAAAGAAAAAGTCCCCTGAAAAAATAAACAAAAAATAAATGCGAATATGTAATGTACACCCATTTCATGTTCTTAACCAGTTTTCAAACAGCTTGATGCGATAAAAATAAAGTCCCTCAAATTACTAATCGATCTAACCCAATACAGGACTGTTTTGTGAAATAGTGCCTATCCCAGTAAGCTATGGGCACAAGGCTGGATCCACCCTGGATGGGACACCAGTTCATCACAGGGCACAAACCAACACAAACACCTTCCATCCAACCATCCATTTTCTAACTGCTTCTTCCAATTTTGGCTGACAGGGAGAGCTGAAGTCTATCCTAGCAAGCAACAGGTGCAAGAGGCAATACACTCTGGCTGGGACATCAGTCCACTGCAGGGCAGACAGACACAAACACAGACACACGTGCTCTCACACCAGGGTCATTTTTCCCAGAAGCTAAATAGCCTATCAGTACCTTTGGACAGTGGAGGGGAAACAGGAGGATCAGGAGGAAACCCACTCGAACATGGATAGAGCATAGAAACTCTACAGATAGCACCCCAGATTTTGAACCCAGGGCCCCAGTGCTGCAAGGCAGCAATGCTAAACACTGAGCCACTGTACCATCCAGGTACTGGTTCTCTCATTTGAAAAACCAAGTAATGCTATGCAATATGTTCTGAAACTACCTATTGCTTTCAGTTCATCTCATAAAGTGTTTATTCTTAAAAAATATCCTTATTACAGTTGCAAAAACCTCTGTACAAAGAGGTATCAATATTGATATTTATCCCCAATTTATTTAAAGTAAAGTTGATTAAGTATGATGAACTGGGTATACATCCATTATTTTACAAAACAAATAAAAAAACAAATAAAAAGTAAAACTACTTATATGTCCTTCAGCATACCCCAAAAATCAGTAATTTGAGAACCATCATTTGGCCTTGAGGAGGCATCTCCCATAGCTTGTAGCCTGTTAATAGGTTCTTGAACTTCTCATTAGGGAAACTCAACCACTCCTGCAGGCTATATGGTATGGGACCAAAGGGGACTGCGATGTGCAATCAGGAGCATCGATTTTATTTTCCCTTAACCATTTGGTCACTGGGCTTGATGCAGGCTTTATACTGTATACTGTAAAGTTCATTTGTCAGCAAGCTTAAGTTTCTTGACAGAAGACACCAGGTTCTGGTTAAGTTTCTGTGACAAACTGTTAGAACAAGCACTCGAGGATCAGGAGATGTACAGCAAACCTAAAGCGGAACCAATTTTCTTTATTATTTTTTAAATTGAGAGGATGACGATCTTTTTCAAGATGAACATTTTGTGATTGAATGGTTTTGCGTTACTCGTTACCAGTTACAGCTCCTGGGTGTTGATTATACCCCATTTTGTAAATGGTAAATGTTAATTATAAAATATATGTCACTTAATTACTTTTCAGACTGCAACTGTGGACAAAACTTTCTTACAATCTCTCCCTGGAAGGGTAGCAACCTATTACTATTACTCTCGATATCTCTGATGATGGACACTACGATTTGTTATGGCCATCAATAGAGTTGTAGAGTTGATACTCTTTTTTTCTTATATGGAGAGGAAACAAGGACTAAAGGACAAAACATAAAATCAAAACTTATTTTCAACATACAGGATTTACAGTTTATGGATAAATCTCAAAATTGTGGATTAGGAAATACATGCAATTATTTTTACAATTTTTGAAGAATGAATTCTATGAAAAAATAATTACTTTTACAATCACTGGACACCATTCATGTAAGCCTTTACATAAATGTTAATTTATTCAAATTGAAAGATATTGACAGTGCACCTGTATTTCATTGCTAAATCAACTTTTAGTTACAGTTCCCCAAGGGTACATCTGGAGGCTGCTACAGATTTCAATTAAAAAAAAACTATTAGCTTATAACCTTAAACTATCAAATAAAGTTGTAGACGTTAGTACATTACTTAAAAAAGAACGACCTCCTCTACTGGATGTATTTCTGACTAATTACTATTTGAGACTCACCATTATTCCAGTTCACAGCATTTTCTACAACCAATGTTGGCAAATAGTGTGACAGGATCCAGTGCAGCAATATTTTAGCCAAAAAAATCAATTACTGATGTTGGATTAAATAGCCTGGGCTATACGACAAATTCATTAAGCCGACAGTGCAATTCACAACTGTGTTTTTAATGCATGTGGAAACTTTTTCTTAACTGTACATGTAAATGCTATCCTATACTGCAACATTTTAAAATATATTTTAAAGAGAAAAATAAGGCTATCATCAGCAGAAGCAGAAACTCGTGCAATTCAGGGCCTCCCAAAAAAACATAATAAATGCACACAAGAATCTACAAACTGAAAACGCAGAGGTTTGCAGGTGGATGAAATGAAGAGAAAGAAAGGCAGACATTAAAAGAAACACTTACATTTCCACAGCTGAGACAAGACGCCGTTTCTCCTCCTGCTTTCCGACAGTCAGTGCTGAATTGTCTGATAAATATCAGCACCAGGGTGGCGCATGGAATCAAACCACTGGAAAAGAACTTGTGCCAGAAAGGGAAGATCCTGAGGTCTCTGGCGGGAACAGCAGTAAATTACCACAACACATCCCCAGTGCAGTGCCTAGCCAAACAGCAAAGTGCTTTATTATTTATTAAGGCTTGTCCAATCAGAGACAGGAGCACTCTGTGGTATCCCTAAAGCTGGCTTGGTGTTCAAGCCCCACATGAACTGCAAAATGCAATAGTCGTGTCCCTTTCTCCACTGTGCATAAACTGTAAGGCCAGGCTAATACCTATTCACTTACTGCTTAAGTACATTAGATGTGAATTAATTACCAGCATTATAGAAAGTTGTGGTTTTTCCCCATCAATAAATCTGGATTGTTCCTTAAAAGTGAAAAGAAATTACACAAAATCTTGTCTTCCTGACAACTGCTTTAAGTATTGATAATATGTATACTTAATATATGGTCTCTACTGATTTGATCCTAAAAAGGATGTACTACACTACTGTTTCTCATCAACCACTCCATGACTGCCTCCTTGCCTTCACTTTTTCAAGAAAAAAAATGACAGAACTTTGATATACTGAGCTTCAAAAGAAACGTATTACTTACAGTTACCAGAAATCAAAATGATCCAGAATAATATAATATTGTTTGTAGCAGGTGCACTGAAATGTATTGAACAGATATGACACGGGCAAATGTACAGTATTATGTTGATTGAATAGGGTTGATCAATAGGGATGAAAGGCACAGTACTCGAACAATGGAAGTACTATTTGAATACAAGCTATATATCCCTGACACAGGCTTTACACCAGGTCTTGTGGACTTCTGCTTATCTTGTACAGTCTGGATAAGCAGGTGCATGTTCTCTGGTCTCCCAAGGCAATTTAGGTCTGGTGAGCAGGATGACCAAAGCGTTAACTTTCAAATGTTCTTGTTACATAAAAGGCACAAGAAGCATGGGGACATGTGTTGTTCTGCTGCAATATTGTCACTTCAGGATGAACCATGAGATGCAAACAAGGGCCCATAACATGATCAATGAGGCACCAAGCAATCACTTAGCCATCAATCATTACAAGTGATCTCTGTTGTGACTCCTACCAGACTATCACACTTGGACCTAACAACAACTGCTCCAATGTACATGAGAATTTGTTCAGTGCAAGCAATCAATCAAATATTTTAATCAATATCCAAAATCCAAATATTTTCAATTTCTACATGTGCAGTGTCTTTTGATGTTTAGTATATTTAATGAATGCGAGCAGAGTGGAATTTCACAAAACCTCACTCACAGCTCCTAGTAAGTTCACTTTCATCTCCAATCATTTCACTCCAAAATATAATGCATGCAAGAAATAAAGTATTGATCCTCCCACCTCAGACACATTTTGTATCTATGGCCATAATTTCATCATCTTAACTCAAAATTTAAAAAAGGCCATGCCCACTTTGTGTAGAAACACCATTGTAATAAAAAATGAACATCTCTTATATATATATATTATAAGAACCATCTTATATTTGACTTAAATTAAGCAACTTGCATATAAAATTAATATTTCTGTCCAACTAAATTTAAAGTTATGAAGTCTTCTCTACACTGTGGGTTGAGGGTCGGTATATCAGGCTTAAATATTATACAGAACATACTAAACACATTTAAGAATGATCTTTATTGGATTTTCCTTTATTTAATCGCTAACTGCTTTGTGATGGTTAACTAAAAGTTAAATTAGGAAATTGCCAAACATACAGTTTAATGCAGTTGTTTCACAGAAGGCAAATTAGTAGCTAGATCATTGCTAAATGTACACAACATTTTAAGCATCGTCACTGTATTATTGTTTTCAGGTACTCTATGTGTGATTTATTTTGTCCGGTGTGCAATACAGTTCTTTCTGACTCTAAAAACTTAATTCAAAGTGGATACACATTATTTATGTCGGTTTATAACCAATGTGCAAATGCAGTGCATACTATGGTTGATTGGTCAAATTATTTTAAAACTTCCACTGAATAAAACTGTTACCTGGTTGTAGAGCTCTGTGCGGCATGCACTTCTTAAGAACTTGTCCAACACAGACATGTGAGCCATTCAGTTGTAGGGCCATTGTACGCCAACCTAGCCAAATACGTACAGTTGCAGACAGAAGTTATTAATCAATACTTTATTACATGAGTATACTGTGTTTATCAAAGTAGTGTTTTTGGTTTATTTAGTGCCAATTCTAGGACAGCCAGCGGTAGAAGACATTTGCCAAACACAGCAAATGTGTTTTGACAGGGGTTGTCAAAGGTTGTAAGTCTGCAGCTCCTCTGATCGAAAGCAACCCATCTGGACTCACCGAATGTTTTACTGCTCGTTAACATGGAAAAAGCACTGCTCTTCAAAAATACGGAATTGCTAAATAAATACAGCCCTACAAAGCAATGTATTAAATGAAAGCAATTAATCCTAATGAATACCAATTAATGTGGTTGTAGTCTAAGACGGTCGGAATCACGGAGGACAGACAGATGCTCCATGAAATCGAAAGAAACAAAGGGCAAATATCGTGGGAGACGACAGTAACAATAACGGAGTTGTGTAGATGTGAAAATGTGAAATGTTAAAATGACATGGGACTGAAGAGCACAGGAAGACTGTGGTCGACCAGCTAAGATCTTTATCTGAGATCGTTTCCGCACACAGTGAGCTCTATATCTAATTAGCCACAAAATAATTAACAATTAAATAATCATTAATCCGAATACATTAATAACTTGAACTCTCAATACTGTACAATTCTTCAGCTCTTCTAAAATCTGTCAGTTTAATAATACCGAATATCCGTTATGCTTAGAGCTTTTATTACTAGATCTATTCTACCGTGACCGCTAATTTACTGTTTTTAACACTAATAAAAACGTCACAAAGCTGGCTGGTGTTTTTTTTTTAATATAAATCTATAGGTTTTGAACAAAAATGTTAATTACCACACCTTTAAGACTCTGGTAACGCCAGGCTGAACGCAGGAAGTGTTGCGTAATTGAACTGTCACTTCAAATACATGCATACATCATCTTATTTTTCTCTAATCTGTCATGAAAGCATTTACCAGGCCTACGCAGTAAACAAACAAAACGTGAGTAAAAGACTTAAAACTACTTTTCAACCTGCTACCAGACAGCTAACTTAATGCAAGCTATATATAATGTTTGAACATGCCTCAAAAACAACACTGACACTTCAATAAATCTTAGTCTGTTAGATTACACTTACCTACAACATCCATGCGGGGAATTATTTTTTCCTTCGTTTTGCTATAGCATTTTTTACTTTATATTAGTGAATGCTTTCATCTTTCTGCACTTCTGTTGGTACACGTGATCGGAAATACACAAAGTTACGGGAAGCGGCTGCCACGTGTCCTCCCAGCAAGAAAGTCCGAGTGACGTCACCGCTGGTTTTGCGGCAAAGTGTAGAAAACAGTTTAAAAAGTGGAATTCAGATTAAGGTTCAGACGGACCACGGATACACATTGTGTTTCGTATTTTATTTCCCAAGACACTCCTAGGGTCAATTTGCTCAGAAGCTAATTAACCTACCGGTATGTTTTTGCACTGTGGGAGGCACAGATGGAACAAATATAGTACATTAGAAATGCATCATGTCAAAGACTTTTATCCTAACCTTTTACCTTGTGTACACCCGAGAGAATAACCATATATCAGTGTCTGCATGTATGAATCTAGAAAACTGAAGAATATAGATTTTTTGATAGCATTAGCTATAATACGCTATTTAATGCCCAAATAATATTTGTCATAATTTAATTTATAGATTATTCTTTTCTTTACTGACTGTTCTGTTTCAAAGGACTGGTGTCAGTGGTAGAGTTGATCTCACATACTGTAGGTGATTAAGGGATTTAACTAGATTAATGTCATGTCTGAATAAAGAGAATTGAAGAAATAAGACTAAAGCTACATATCAGTACAGTCTCTGAATCCATATGAGTAAAACGTAAATACATTCTGAAGTTATAATGTTAGGAGTATGTCATAGACCACCAAATACAGATGTTGATTATAATTTAACACTTTATAATGCGATTAAGAATTTATGACCAGAAAAAGACAGTTTTATGGGAGACTTTCCCCACATAGATTGGGAAAACCTATAAGAATGTCAGCATCAGGGACTGAAATAGATTTGGTTAATGAGAGCTTTCTTACCCCGTTTGACAGAGAACCTTCAAGAGGGGAAATGCTTGTATAGATCTTGTCTTTTCAAACTATCAAGAAAGAGTGAGGCAAAGAGAGATGAGAGAACCATTAGGGAATTGTGATCATAATACGGTGTGCTATGAACTATGAACTATACTTTGTACCGGTTGAATTCAGCCAAACAAAATTCAGAAAGTTCACACTTTCAGGAAAATTGATGGAATGAGACAAACCTATTACAAAAAATGTAAGGAAAAAGACAGTGCTTTAGGTCAGCATGGTGGCACATTGTGTTCAATTTCATTCAGGTATTCACTAAGGAAGAATTCAACATCTTGGCTTAGGCAGTAAAATGACAAAAGCGTGTATTAACTAGCATTAGCATAGAAGAGGCAGAAGGCTTGAGGTTCTAGAAGAAATCAGAATCATGAAAAAGCAATAAAAAACTAAACTGTTACAAAATATGAACAAAAATAGAGAAGATTAATCAATGTATGTTATGTTAATAATAATAATAATAATAATAATAATAATAATAATAATAATAATTGCTTACACTTCTGGACACTCCACTCAAAGCGCTTTACAGGTAATGGGGACTCCCCTCCACCACCGCCAATGTGCAGCATCCACCTATGTTAGGTTGGCATGATGGCACAGTGGTTGGCATGGAAAAGAGTTTGTAACTTCTCCCTGTGTTTGTATGGGTTTCTTCCAGGTCCTCACATTTCCTCCCACAGTCCACAGACCTGCTGGTAGGTTAACTGGCTTGTGGGAATACTGGCCCTGGTGTTCACGTTTGTGTCTGTGTGTGTCCCTCCCAGGGTGTAGAGTATCCGGTCTTGCACTTGTTGCTTGCCAGGACAGGCTCTGGCTCCCATGAGACCCTGTATTGGATAAGGTAGTTTAAAAATGGTTGGATAGGTGTTATGTTAAAAATTTTAGAATGCACTAGTAATGCCACATTAAGAGTATTGTGTACAATTGTGGTACCTGGAAAGTATCCATTATAGAAAAAATATTGCAAATATTTGGAGTCCAAAGAACAGCTACCATATGCATTGCTGGGCTTAAGGGAATGTCCTACACTGACAAGATGATGGAACTGAACCCTTTTAGTCTTTGACAGAGAAGACTACAAGTCGATCTGATACTTTCCAGAACTGAGCCCCATTGTACATTTGTGGAATAAACTGAAATGACATGTAGGGCTCAGGGATCAGAATATGAGGAGTATGGACAGGATGCCACAAGACAGCAACAAAAGTCTACTGTAAAGTAGGTATAGCAGGGATACAGTGGAATGCTGCTATACTTATTGATAAGGTGCAGCAGTCAGGGGCTGGATTCAAGCACAGATGAGTAGCAGGTGAGCAGTGAGCTGTCATGATGAATCAGGCAGGCAAAAACACAGTAAACCAAAAACAGGCAGGGGCCAAAGCCAAGTAAACTCGGAAGAAAGAATCTAGGGAAAATCCAAAATACAAAAGTTAAGGGAGAATGACAAGTTTGAAGTTAGGAAAATGTGAGAACAAAGTACAGGGAAAAATCCACTAATATAGTGAATCAAACACTGCCAGAACACAGATGGTAAGTAAAGGAATGGAATGTCAAGACCAGTAATCAAGCACTAAGACTCAGCACCAGGGTATCCAGTGACAAGTCTCAAATACCCTGGTGCTTAAAGACAAACAGGTGGAACTGATCTTCTGCTGAAGCATGTTGTCACAGCAACTGGTAGACTAACCAGATTATTGTTATTAGTGGTGGTTGAGATGCGATTACTGGTTCTCCAGCAAGAGCTGGTATGACATTCAGTTTATACTGTATGCCTTTTGGCAGTGGCTACACTACAAACATGTGAGTATCACAGCAGACACCCTCTCCTGTTGGTGACAAATGTTAATGCTGGCCTCTCAGGTAATGAATGTATCTGTTGTGTATTTTTAATAAAAGGTTACTGCTCCTTTTGCAAAATCATTAGTCAATTTGCTGATAATTACATGGATTATCATGTTATAAATGACCATTTTTTTGTGTTCAGTATAATAATCAATAATAATGAAAGTTTGAAATAACACCTCTGTTACAGACCCAAATGCAGCAAGTGAAATATGAATGGGCAGAATATTTTGTGAATGTCTTTTTGTTTTTGAATTGTAAGGGCAATACTATCTTAGGAAATCTTTTCCATTTTATAGATCCATAGAAGGCCGTATGTAGAGTAATGTACATCTGATAGTGGTTCCATTTCCTCTGTAGACTGGTGACATTACAAGCTGAAACCCTCCAGTGGTCTTAATCGTACAACGTGGCACAGAGCCACTGTACTGTTAATGCCATATACAACCACTGCCTGACAAGTGAGATAACCATGTTGCATTGTTAAAAATGGTAGTGTACTGACTGGAGGAAAAGGAAGCTCGGGCTTATTTCATAATGAAAACTAACATCAAAATTAAAATTAAATAACTTGCTATATTTTGGTTTCTTATGCTCACTTAAATCTCCACCATAGTACTGCTGTGGTATTATAAAAGTATGTAGCAACATCATAGTTAAACCTCTTTGTGTTTCAGTGGTGTATACAATATGTACTTCTTAAGTTTTAATTTTACTGACTCTGGTGGAGTTTATTTCTAAAGCTTCATCTTACTATTTACAACCCAATTTGCAGTCACGAGCAAAGCTGTTGTGTTATTTTTTAAAACCTATACTTGTAGAGACATCTAGTGGAGGCAACATGAATATCTCCTGAATTTGAAACGAAATTTTAATTTAATTTGTGCATAGTTAGATGGAGAAAGATATCAGACATTTGTCATTCATTTTTCAAGAAATGACCAGACAAGATCATAACGTTAATTAAGCACTAAAAACCAAGTGAACTAACCGACAGATTTAACCTTCCTCTCGTTGGCCAATTATTTATTATTATTTTCGGATTGTGAATTCTGGAATACTTAGTAAACTAATCAAGTCTGCAGCTTATGTCCAAATATGATTAGAAAACACTGTAGGAACAGTAAATGAAATTCAAAAATATTTAGATAGAATTCAAGACTGGGCACACCACTAGGAGATGATGTTTAATTTAAGACAAATGTGGGGTTTTGGAAGCAGGCAGTTAAAACATAAATTATAAATACTAAAAGGGGAATGGTCAGCTAGATGAGATGAAAAAGACTTAGGTATTATTTGTATTTACATCTTTCTGACAATGTGAGGAAGCAATTAAGAAGGTGGATCCGTGGTAGCTCAGACAGCAAGGGTGTCTAATTCCTGACCGGAAGGTCCTGGGTTCATTCCCAGGTAGGGGTGTACGATCTAGCTTGCTCTAATTCCTTCCAGATGGCTCCCAGGTCCACTCAGCCTGCTTTTCAAATGAGTACCAGGTATTAATCCTTCCAGGGGTTATAGGCCAGCTGGAGCATGATGCTGACCACATCACCTCCTCCTCCAGTGTTGGGTGGTTGAGAAAAATGGTGGTCCTTGCCCCCCAAGAGCTTTTATGGCCTGAAAAGGGGACCTAATCTACCTAATTAAGAAGGGAAATAAAATGCTGTGATAAACAGTAGGAAGAACACAATTCACATCAAGGGACGGTATGTTAAAATCATATGATGTACTAGTATAGCCCCATTTTGAATATTGTGAACAATATTTGTCATCTTGTTAAAGAAAATAAGTGATTGCTGCTCTAGAATCATTCTGGGGTTTAATGGAATGCCTCACACCGACAGGCTTAAAGAACTGGACTTTTTTAGGCTTGAACCGAAAAAAAATTATAATGGTACAAGTATTCAAAATCACAACAAAGTCAACCCAGCAGATGTCTTCTGAGGAACAGTGAAACATAAGGGCCCAAAAGGAAACTGTGTGGTAGTGCATTTAAAACTAAGAACAGGATATATTTCTTTACCCAAAGGGCAGTGGGAGAATGGAACAGACTACCCAGTCATGTTGCTGAACTAGATACTCTGGCTTATTTCAAGAAACAGCAGGGTCAATAAACTCCGAACTGCCAAACAGGGAAGACCTTGTTTGTAAGCTTTCTTATGTTCTTGTCTTTTCAAGAGCAGCAGTGAAAGCCTCTCAGGACAATTAATAAAGAAAACCTGGAAAAAGCACAGCTTCAGATAAAAATGTATGGTTAAAATCAAACTTTGTTGTCAGATGGGACTATACTATATTAATCCCTGTGTA